AAGAGGGAGAGAAATAATTGTTCCAATTATTTATGCATTCATTGGTTGGGGACCCTGACTGGGGGTCCAACCCACAACCTTGGTGTATAGGGACAGTGCTCTAACCCAGCGGTTCTCAACCTGTGGGTCGTGACCCCTTTGGCAGTCGAACGACCCTTTCACAGGGGTCGCCTAAGACCATCCTGCATATCAGATATTTACATTACGATTCATAACAGTAGCAACATTACAGTTTTGAAGTAGCAACGAAAATAATTTTATGGTTGGGTCACAACATGAGGAACTGTATTTAAAGGGCCAGAAGGTTGAGAACCACTGCTAACCAATCAAGCTACCCAGCCAGGGTGAGAACCACTGCATTAAAGACACACAAGGGAACCTGGGCTACAGCGTGAGCCTTCCCCTGATGAACAAACTTGCTCCCAGTGGTTCCCGGTGTAAGACCATATTTTCCATTCCCCTCTACTCGACACCAGTTGGACAGCCTACAAGTCCCATCTCTACGCTCAAAGATGCGACCTGGGCGTAGCAAACAATTGTACGTGTGCAAGCTAATACCCTCATGTCTCCCCGCTTCACCGGAAGCAAGACCAGGGGCCTAAACGGAGAGCCGTTGCTCCCGGCTGGAGCCCCCGGGAAGCCACCCTGGATACGCCAACAGAAGATAGGCACATACCTTGTTCTTGGGGTGCTCCTCCAGTTCTCCCTCACGGATTCCTGGGCCCGGCTCTCCCAGAAGAGTGGTGCCGCTGAAACACATTGTGATGGAGCAGCTCCTCGCAAGACCCAGGGAGGAAGTCCTTCCGGGTGCAGGGGCTGGCTTCCAGCGTTCAGCCTGGGCTGGTTTGGTTCTTTGGGAGAACCGCACCTTTATCCCCACCAAAGGCATTTGTCTGGGGCAGCCTGCTCCTCAGCCCCTTCCTCAAACTCCCATCATGTGTAGCCAGCAAAGCAGACCCGCCAGAAGCCCCAGGAAAGAGGGCAGAGACCAGCCCTGGGCCCACCGCCCCTCCCCAGCGGCTTGCAAGCCTGAAGTGCATCCAGCTGATGCTGATGGATGCTGTCAAGTGCTTTCTCTGCATCTACTGAGGTGACTGCATAGTTGTTGACCTTCAGTAACACAATGCATTACGTTGATTTTCAGATGTTACGCCAACCTTGCATTCACTTGGTCATGGTGAATAATCCTTTTCGTAAGTTGCTGGGTTCAGTCTGCTAATACTTTGTCGAGGAGTTTTGTATTTATATTCACGAGGGATACCGGTCTGTAGTGCTCTTATATCTTTGTCTGACTTGGTACCAGTCACCCCCCAGAGGAGCCGAGGAAAGCACACATTTCTGTAATGAGACCCCCACTCCCTGTCCCCATGGAATCTGAAATCGGGGCACAGAGATGCCTGCAAATGCCAATGCCCACAGGGGCTGGGCAGGTAAAATCAATTAGTAAAACTATTTGATACGAGAAACCTGGAGAGCATGCCCCAGCCAAAGCGACGCAGCTGTAGCTCATTGTTGCCTTGCGAGAACGTGGGCCAATATTGCCAGATAATTCCCATTTTTTAAGAGAAACTGGAAGTCCAGGTCTTTGTCTGGACTGTCCAAATTTTTAAATGCTGGCAACTGATTTTCATTAAATATTTTGAATGGGTAAACACCAAAATACTTTTAATATATTTTTATTGATTTCAAAGAGAGAGAGAGAAACATGAGAGAGTGAGAGAGAGAGAGGAGAGAGAGAGACAGACATCACTGATAGGCTGACTCCTGCACGCCCCCCACCAGGGATGGATCTCGCAACCTGGACATGTGCCCTGATGAGGGAATTGAACCATGATCTCCTGGTTCATAGGTCAACGCTCAATCACTGAGCCACCGCAGCCAGGCCAAAAATTATTTCTGTAAGTATACAAAAGTAAAATAAAAAAGCTTTCTCACCTAAAACAGATATTTACTGTTCTCAAAGTTCTGTTTATCCTTCCAGAGAATTTCGATGCCTTTCTTTCATGCACAAATGGTGGCATATCATGCACACGTGTATGCACTTTGGCTTTCTGATCTTGGTGGTATTTCTATACCGATTCATCAAGAATTCCTAATCCATTCTTATAACTTCAGGGGATTCCGTCTATCCATGTATCATGGATGGGTTATAACTAAACCAATCCCAGTAATGGGCACGGAGGTTCCTTCCGAACTCCTGCTATTTCATTGCACAGTGAGTAATATTTTGCATGTGTCGTTTCTCTCGTGTGTGTACTGGGAGGCTGGGCCCTAAGGGTGGAATTACTAGTTCACAGGTATACACGTTTCTAATGTTGACAGGTACAGCCCACGGCCTCCATGAGAGTGGTTCCCTCTAATGATGTGTGAGAATGAATGTTTCTTCAGGATTTCACCAACAATGTTTTCAAAAAAACATTTCATTTTTGACAGCCTGATAAAACTCGGGAATTTCAATCTTCGTTCATATTGATTGGTATAGATTTTGGTTGACCAGCTTTTCAAATGTTTAAAAGTCTTTTGCATTTCCTGTGAAATTCCTTTTCATATCCTTTGCCCATTTTTAGTTATTTCTCCTTTTATATACCAGTGCTGATTATATATTAGGGAGTTTATCCTTCTGTAATATGAGCTGCAAATAAATTTCCCTTGTTTGTCATTTGTCTTTTAAAAATGCTTAGGATGTTTGTTTTGGAGTTTCTTTTTGCCATGCAGAGGATTAATCATACATATATGTGGTCAATTTGATCTAGCTTTTATGGCTTCTGGATTTTGTATGATTCTGTAATGTTTATGCCTCCTTATAAATTAATTTTCATATATTTAACTCCTCTTTAATCCATCTGGAATTCTGGAGCTGCTCCTGGTGAGCAGAGAGAAGTATGGAACTCACTTTTTTCCAGATAGTTACTCAGTTGTCTCAACCTGAAAACAATTTAAAAACAGTTTAGGGCAAAACTCACATTCTGTCAACCCAGGGCCACCGTCTTGAAACCTCTTGCTTTGATGGACACGAAGTTCACCTCCACAGAAGGGGCAGGCGGCGGCAGAAGAGCCTTGCCCTCATGGAAATTTGCAGAGTGGCCTTTGTGCTGGCCTCCCTGCCCAACAAGAGCACAGAGAAAGGAAAAGGTCGCCCTTTCTAAGGCTGCTAAGTGACCCTCGCAAGGGGCACCTGCCAAGTCAGCACCGAGGCTTCATTAACGCGGGCACTTGCTCTAAAGGAGACACCTGTCCGGTCACGTGGCACAAGGACAGGGCCTCCAGCACCCCAGGCTCCCAGGACCGAGGTCGGGAATACCTGGCAGTGTTTGGCACTGCAACTCCAGGAACTTGGAGTGGCCAGTTCTAGCTCATTTGCCACCGTTTTCCCAGAGATCAGTGATGGCAAGCCTTTTGAGCTCGGCGAGTCAGCATTTTGAAAAACCCTAACTTAACTCTGGTGCCGTGTCACATATAGAAATTTTTTGATATTTGCAACCATAGTAAAACAAAGACTTATATTTGTGATATTTATTTTATATATTTAAATGCCATTTAACAAAGAAAAATCAACCAAAAAAATGAGTTCGCGTGTCACCTCTGACACGCGTGTCATAGGTTCGCCATCACTGAACTAGCCCGGGGTCACACCGCTGAGGCATAAGGAGATGATGGTGCCACCCAGGCTGGCTGACCTCAGAGCCCATAAGCTCCTAGCCTCGGTCCTGTGGGTCTCTGTTCTAGGCCACTGGAGGTGCTCTGGCTTGGCCACTGGCAGTGCCTGTCACCCTCCCTGTCACCTGGTTCAGGCTCTGGAAGGAGAAAGAAGCCTCGGCCTCTCCAGCGATCAGCATAGACTCAGCCTTCTGGGAGGTGGTGTCTGAAAAATGAACTTTCCATCGAATCTGCTGTCCCCGAGCAGGCTGGGTGGGGCACTGCGAGTGTCTAAGCTTCCTTCATTACTAACAGTCCGATCGATTCGACGCAGCCACGAGGATCAGCGATCGCAGCTGCACAGGGACGCCTCCCACAGGCAGTGTCAGCCTTGAGCCAGACACAAAGAGGACACAGCGTGCGCATCCTCGTCGCCCTGCAGCCCACAGAGGACAGGCTGCAGCCCTGTCTGCACC